CTCCTTGTAAAAGAAGAGAAAGAAAATCCTTTTTGTATTTTTTTACCTCTGGAATTGACTAGAGATATGCATTCTACATGGGGCTGACCAGAAAGACTGCCTGAAATGTTCAGTTAGTACATAAATGAAGAGACATCTCGTTTGATTTGGAACAGCTCATCTTCTGGATAAGAAAAGGGTGCAGATCTCTTATATAAATACCTGCATGCTTATAGTCCATTACCCACAATCATCCGAACCAGGAAGAACCATATGCATCCATATAGCAGGAATGCATATCTCCTTCCCATAAATAATGCTTTTCTAAATTTAGGGTTCATTCACACAACCCCCTAACTGCACTATGAAGATATCTTAGGCATCTAAAGCACAGCGACACGTCCTCATGACTCAGTCTTTCTCATGAAACCCCCAACCCATTGCTCAGGCTGCTTAACTTTGTATTTATCTGATCCCATATTCAAATGGTGTTCTCCATCTTCTTCCAACATTGCCCCCACGCAGATCAAGTCCTGTCCACTGGTTAAACCCATGGGTGTAGCCATCTGTCAAAACTCATATCCAGCTCCAGCCCAAATTAAGAAGAGTGACTGGTGGGGTTTTTTTCCTGCCTGCACAAAATCCACCACCGAATGTGAGACAGGTTAAGGAAAGTGAACTAGTTAAGGAAAATATATTAGGACATCCCCATTCGCTGGTTTTGTTATTAGGCAGAACAGAAATCAGCTGATGGGACAGGACAAATTATGCTCATCCTGTTGAGCCATTAAATTAGCTGCCAGAATGGATCCTTAGTCCACTCCATACTGGAAAGGTAATTATCTTAGACAAGGAAGAGAGCGGGTTCTAGACTCACGGGGTTAGAGCTCCATATTCCACAGTGGGTCCTCTGCCTGGTCGTGAATTGGCCCTGGTTGGATACGCACCAAGGCCAGCAGTAATGCAGGCACTCTCAGCGCCATACCAGGTCATGTAGTTGCGTATGCGGAAGACAAAGGAGTAGAGCATCACGTAGAAAAGGCGAAAACAAAGTCCTCTCTCATAGAAGGCATCACTTTGAACATAATTAGGAGGGAAGAAGTGGGACCCAGCCAAAAAAGAAGTTGCAAAGATAGGGATCATTATCAATCTGTAACGCAGCGGCTTCCATGTAGGAATAACAGAAGGATCAGGCTGGTTCAACCAATCATGATATGTACGATAGCGATAAAATAGGACTGGAATTAAAAAACACACAAGAGAAAACAATACAACAAACCACGATCAATGAGACGTATCTGTCTAAGGGAAGATGCACATTTTGATAATTTAGGACAGCTCTTTCCATAACCAGGTATCCTGCATAAATGTCAGCATCACTTCCCCTAATTCAGAGCCAGTATCTTGGTTGGAGATTATGGGAGACAGTATCCAGCATATTTGGAGAGCTTCTTTTTTTGACAGACTCTGTTAAGGTTGTGTGTGATTTGGGAAGAACGTAAGGATTTCCTGGTTGCACAACTCTGGGGTTTCCTGCAGATTCTGGCAACAGAAACATAATCCCTGGTCTCTTACTTTTTGCTGTCCTGTCCCGCCCTCACGTCTCCAGCAGCAGCGTATGGCCATTCCATGCAATTCTCACAAAACAAAAACTAGTGCTAAAAGTGTAAAATGTGGAGTCCTTGGGGTTCTCTGAGCTTGGTTCTTTTCTTGCAAACGTTTCATTAGCTGGGTAATGAAACATTTGCAAGAAAAGAAACC